ATATTGCGATTTACTCACCTCAGCCGCCAAGTGCGGAAAACTGCATTCTGCACCTCCTGCCCCTGCATCCCATCTGCATTTGTCGGCAAGCTGGTCCGTGGGTAAACGAGCAGGTGGCACCGTCTGTGGAAACATGTAGGTGTTGTATAGCACACAGCCAAAGGAAAAGGCATCCTGTGCCGAACGCGCCCCCACTCGACCCTGGCCGAAAAGCACCTCCGGTGCTACATAGCCTGCCGTGCCCAACGACGCAGTGGCTGTGCATGGTAGCATAGTGGCTTCGGCAGCCGCCTTGGTAATGTCGAAATCGCCGAGCCGCACAACAGGTTGGTCCTCGTCACCGTCCAGCATCACATTGCTCAGCTTGACATCCCGATGCACCAGGCCCTTGCTATGCATAAACGCCAGGGCCATGCGCAGCTGCGTCATCAAACTCGCAACGACGGTCGAGGTGGCCAGATGCCGCGCCTTGCCGAGCCACTGCTGCAGATCCCCCTGTGTACACCACGGCTGCACCAGATAGGCGCTTGGGTGGCCATCATGCACGCCCACAAGCGCACCGAGGACTGGAACGATGTTTGGATGCTCAAGCTGGCGCATGGCGCGAAGCTCGCGCAGAAACGTACGACACTGATTCTGCTTGTGTTGCTGGGCAAATGCATACTCCTTGACAGCCAAATCCTGTTCTTGCTCAGGCCGATTTGGCAGCGCTGCACGAGCTTTGTACACCTTGTGGTTTTGGTTGTAATGGAGCTCAAGCTGACCCAGGCAGGAGAGCGTCAACACTTGGTCCACTTCGGTCATGGCCTCCAAGATCAGACTGGCTGGAAGGTCGGGGCCAAGTACTTTGCGGAGGTGTACACCCAATGCACTGTGCTCAGGGTGCAAAAAGATCAAGAGGGCCGGAAAGTGTTGGTGCAGTAGCTCTGCCAGTGCTGCCACCTAGTCCACCTGTGTTGCCTTCGATAGCTGCTGCTGCAACGTCGAAAGTCGTTCCTTCTCTTCATCCAGGTTGGCTTGTATACCAGCTCGCATGTCGTCTGACACAAAAGCCAAGAATGCTGTGGTTGCCTGAATTTTCTTTTGCAGCTCGGCCACCTCCTCATGAATGGATACAACTTGATCTGCGCTGCTCTGCGTGATGCTGCTTGCATATTCTTTGCATGCAGTCAGCACGTACAGCGTCTTGGCCTGCCAGTCGATCATATCGTGCAGCTGCTGCAACAGGGCTTGCGACCCGTGCAGCACAAACGTCAGGTACCAGTCCTGATGCTCATAATCGTGTTCTGCTCTCCAGTCTGCGAGCTGCTCCAGCCCATTCTGTTTGGGCGAGCTGAGGTGTTCGTGAGCCTGGCACAGCCGCTCCCACGCCTCGGGTAACGACTTGGCCGAAAGTGGTGCGCTCACATCCGAGCATTGTGCGCGTTGCCGTAACGTGTCCACGCGATGCATTGTGTCAGTGTCGGTGGTACCCGCCCTTGCCACGGCGTCCAGAGCATCAATCAATGCCAGCACCCGCCGCTTGATATTGGTATTGGTGCTGGTAAGCCGTTCTTGGCGCTCGGGTTCCACATTGTGCAGCATGACGAGTTTGCCCAGAGCTGCTGCAAAGTCGGTGGGTGGCGTCTCAAACGCAGTCGTGGGCGCGGTGGCTGGAGCGGGACATTTTGCCAAGATGTTCTGGAGTTCAAGATATACTGGTTGGAGCTCAATCTGCTCTGTTAGACTTTGCATCTTTTCAAGTACCGATTCTAGATTGTCAATGTTGGGGTCCAGTTGGCTGAGGCAGCCCTGTAGCGCTTCGGGAACCTGCACTGCTTGGTCGAGGACGCCGAGGGCGCGGGTGATGGTCGCTTTGAAGGCAGGCCAGTTCAAGGCAGGAAACTCTGGTGGAGCTTCATCGATGGTGTTCTGGATCTTCGTAACCATTGCTGCGAGATTAGAATTTCGCTTGATGGCACCGCTGATAAAGGCCTCGAGGTGCGGGAGGGGGTGAGTGGTGAATTGCTCGGGCAGGAGCGGTCTGAGCCAGCCTTCCACCGACACCACAACAGCGGCCGTCGTCTATAGGGGGATGTGGTTGAGGGGAGTTTGAGATAGGGATGGAGTGGGGAGCAAAGATTGTAATTTGGAAAAGGAAGAGCGGAGAGAGGTGTGTACCTCAAGGGACGGTGCAGGACTGAGCAAGGGCGGCAGCCAGGCAAATAGCTGTGCAAGGCGAGCCTCGTGGGCAGCGAAGACGGGCTCCAGCCTGTTGGCATGCCCACGTCGACGTCCAGCATCGAAGGCCGTCTCCCCTCTCTGAGAACATATTCAGGGGAGGGACGAGGTGTGGTAAGAGTTGAGCGATGTGCATGTGTTTTTTTAAAATGAAAGCCAGTGCAACGATGCGCATGATTAAGCAGGAGACGTTCGGCGAGAAAGCGGGGTACAGATAAGGCAAGAGGTGGCAGGGTATCTCAACAGAAGGGTTGATTAACAAATAATTAACAAAACTCGTGTTTGGAAAAATATCGTCAAATGTGCAAAGGCAAGATGCAAAAAATGACGACCAATATGCGTTTGAGCGCGCGAGGAAAGCAGAGACACCATGATGATGGCAAGGGATTGGGTGGCGTCCAGATCAACATGTCAAGTCACTATATCGTGGCGGATGGGCAGCGCAGATTCCGAAAGGGTAGGCAGGCGGAGGTAGAACAAGAGGAAGCAAAGAAACCCAAAACGGAGAAAGGCAATAGTGTTAAAGACGAGAGAAGAGATTGAAACGGGACGGGTGCACGCAAAGGGCAGGGTGTCGAGGGGAGAGACGGGCCGAGCGGATGTGCAGGAGGAGCAGCAGCAAAGCGGAAAGAAGGGGGTACTGTACTGACCTCGTCCTTGGCTTCAGCATCAACGCCGTGCTCCAACAGTGTCTCCACCACCTTGACATGGCCGTTATAGCAGGCATAGTGCAGTGGTGCTCGGCCGCCCTGGTACAGCATCATCAGCATATGTTAGAGGTGTACCAGCAGAGGGAGGTTAATGGGAAAGAGGGAAGTATTGACCTTGTTCTGCGCTTTTGCATCGACACCATGCTCCAACAGCATCAACACTACCATGACACGACCGGTATGGCAGGCATAGTGCAGTGGTGTCCGGCCATACTATGGGATGATGCCTCAGCATTAGATACAGCGTTATCATATGTGTAGGT